CGCTGTAGAGTTGTGGGAGATATACAGCTCTAGAATCGGTTAATCCGATGTGAGGAACAAGATGCAAGTCACATTTCAATAAATCAAAGCCAAATATGCAATATTCAGTTCACACTTGTCTAGTATAGTGTTTTATACTATAGCAGAGTAAAACATGGAATCTAATACATTAGTACAGTATGGTATACTACTGGTAGAATACTATACTATGTTGTAGTCCAGCACTTAAAATATAGCATAATACAGTATGAAATAGAGTAGCTATAGTATAGTAAGGCATAGTGTAGTATGAGCTAACTGATGTAGAGTGTATAGTATACTATCACACAGTTACAGTACAGGATAGCATAGTATAGTATAGTACAGTCGATGTAACAACTGTACAATATACCATAGTAATGACTAGCAAAAGTATAGTATAGTATAGTATAGTATAGTATAGTATAGTACAGTACAGTACAGTACAGTACAGTATAGTATGTGAAGGAAACATTACTTTCCTCTCTTGGAGTTAAGAGATGGTACTGAATTTTTCTCCTTAGTTCTTCTGATTGACCTCCTTATGTAAAAGTAGTATTTGTAACAGATGTGTACTAATCTGCAAATCTATAGTTTCTTGACCTCATGTAGATCTATTGTAGGAGGACAGGCAAGTACTCCTTGTGCCCCTCAAGGCCAGATTGCACTGAGGTGCTGGACTTACCCATAAATCTAGATGTGGTTCCCAACGAAGGACGGTATAAGACCGAAGGTGTGAGAGGAATCCTCAGGATTGATGCTAGCAATGCATGAGTGAACTACTGCTCTGCTCCTGAATTCAGTAAACCTTATTTCAACCTCAGTCGTCTGAGTCTCTGGTGTGTCTCTCTGTGTCGGGTTAATCATCCTACATCAACCTCTTCCAGAATTCCACAACATAGTATAGTATAGAACAGCGTAGTATAGACTATCCATCCATCCATTATCTATACACACCTTAATCCTCACTAGGGTCGTGGGGGGCTGGAGTCTATCCCTGACTTAGGGTGAAGGCAGGGGACACCCTGGACAGGTCACCAGTCTATCACAGGGCTACACTTAGAGACAGACAACCAAGCACACTCACATTCACACCTACGGACAATTTAGAATCACCAATTAACCTCAACATGTTTTTGGACTGTGTGGGAGGAAGCCGGAGAACCCAGAGAGAACCCACGCTGCACGGGGAGAACATGCAAACTCCACGCAGAAAGATCGCGGGTGTCCTCACCAGGACGCAACCTTCTTGCTGCGAGGCAACAGTGCTACCAGCTGTGCCACCTTGCAGCCCTAGTATAGACTAACTTTAATATTTTATAACTGACAGCACAAAATGCAGATGTCTCTGGATCTGGAGCTACATGTCTCTGATCTGCAGTCGTTGCCTCACTGACCTCCAAAATGTTCATGTTTTGTTTGTATTATTTGCCTGTTCTCCATCTGCTATCCTGCTATGCCCACCCCCCTCATCCCCACTCTCACCCCATCCAGTCGACGCAGATGGACGCCTTCCCTGAGCCAGGTTCTGCCTGAGTATTTTGTTTGTTTGTTTGTTTGCTTTCTCCCTGTTAATTTATTTATTTTTTTGTTACTTCCCATTGTCTCCGACTGCTTGCTCACAGGGAATCCAAAGGCAACCTTGGATTGCTGGGCTCTCTGTTCTTTGTATGTGTTGTGAATTGGCGCTACATAAAGAAAATTGAATTGAAAATATTGCAGTGCTATACTATATTGTGTAGTAATAGTATATGTAATATTTGATTCCATATTATAGTATAGCATGAAATGTTACACTATGCTGTTGCACACTACTATACAGTATAGTGTACTACTACAGTCTTTTGTACTCTACTTTTTGTATACTGTACTGTTTAGTATATTATAAAATATTACACTATACCATTGCACACTACTGTACCATACTGTCTTTTTGGATACTGTACTACATTCTAAAATATGATATTAGTATGACTTTGACTTCTAAATCAGAAATCCTGAGTTTGTTTTAAATAGAAAACACAGTTCTGTTGTCAGTACAGTTTTGACTGTACAGAAGTTAACACTAGTTCTTTTTTTGTCTCAACATCCTGCACACATTAGAGTTTATTTATCACTTGTTGATGACTGCTAACAGCCACTCCAGATCCATATCAGCTGCTGGGAGCGGAGACACAACACTCCAATCAACTCTAATCTCCAAATGATTGCCAGTGAAATATCAATACGTTGCTGTGTGGTATGGATTCAGCCCAGTCTATAAAACCTGTCACAATGTGGCTCTAATCAGAGTGTGAGTCAGGTACACACTACACACTCAAGTAGATCATTTACTGCAGGTGCATTATTATTCCAGGTGTTTCCCGTATTTATCAACTGTTTCTTCCTATTTAGTGACGATAACAACTCATCACAACTTGTGCTGTTATGAATCTGCTTTATGTTTAACTATCAGACTTCCTGTTGTCAATTATTCAGACAAAAATATTTCCCATTTGCAGTTTTTGCTAAAGGATTCCTGTTAGGAATAGAATGCTATCTACATGCTGAAAAGGTGCAATGTGTGTGTGTGGCTGAGGAAGCTTGGTATGCTTCTGCATACAGTTAAAACAGTTTAACTATAGGTTTAATTCAAATATAATCTCTCTGCACTTGTATTTTGATGTAGCCTAAAACCAGGAACAGTTGTAGGTAATCGTCCGAGCTGATGAGCTGATATTTCAAAGCAGATGGTTGTTACATTGTGCAAATAATCCCTGATTTAGGACATGGTCAAAGTTGCTACCAGTGACTGTTGTTGTAGCAATAATCTACAGGATAAATACATCAAGTTATCCAGCTATTAAAACTGTACAATGATAAGTTCCACTTATCGCATAAAGTTGAAACCAGAAGTTTATATACACAGTATAAAAAGACATAACCTTTTTTTTCCTGACTGTCTGACATTAAATCAGACGTAACTTTTCCTGTTTCAGATCAGTTAGGATTACCAAAATTATTTCTGTTTGCTAATTTCCAGAATAATGAGAGAGAGAATTTTTTAGAGACTTTTTTTTTTTTTTAAACTTTCTTCAGTGTCAGAAGATTACATACATTTCCTTAGTATTTGGTAGCATTAAACTGTATGACTTGTGTCACACATTTTAAGTATCCTTCTGCAAGCTTCTCAGAATAGTTTGATGGAACTTTGGTCCATTCCTCCTGACAGAACTGGTTTATCTGAGTCAGGTTTGTTGTCTGCCTTGCTCCACATGTCTTTTCAGCTCTGCCCACAAATTTTCGACAGGACTGAGATCAGGGTTTTGTGATGGCCACTCCAAAACATTGACTATGTTGTCCTGAAGTCACTTGCGGTACGCTTAGGATCATTCTCCATGTGGAAGACCCATTTGCCCCCAAGCTTTAACTTCCTGGCTGATGTCTTGAGATGTTGCTTCAATATTCTCTAAAAAAAAAATATCTCTCTCATTATTCTGGCATTTCGCAAATAGACATAATTTTAGTAATCCTAACTGACCTAAAACAGGAAACGTTTGGTCGGATTTAACGTCAGACAGTGACAAAAAAAAAAAAAGATGATATGTCTTCTAATACAGTGCATGAAAACTTATGATTTCAACTGTATCTCCATGTTGTGGTGCGCTCCCTGTTTGTGAGTTAATTTCCAAAACTTTCATTTAGTAATCAAAAATTGTTCCAGATCAATACAGTTTATCTCAGATTTATTTGCTGAAATCATGCATGAATTTACGTGTTGGTTTCAAGGTACTATTCCAGTACATGCTCATGTATTTTCTTCAGTAGAGTATAGAAAGCACAAAGCAGTGCAGACTTTCAATGATGCACAACTTATATTACAAATCATTTTAAAAGAGACTCATGAGATGTAAAATATTTCTGTTAAAAGATGCTACCACCATAACAGAATCTGGGCTCCTCTGTGTGTTATCAAAAATGTGCAACATAATAAATGATGCAGCCATTTTCATTCTTCTTTTGTGCAGGTTTAACTTTATAAAGAGTGATTCTGGCAAAAAAAAAAAAAAAACTAGCATTATTTAGAAGTCAAGCACTTATAATAATTATCACTCATTTTTTATATGAGTATCAGATTATATTTTTACAACCAAAGAAAGTTTTTCATTACTTCTGAAAATGTTCATATTTTTTTTTTCCCTTTAATTCCCAAATTTACAGAAATAGCTCCTTTGTTGTCCCCCTGATCCTGAATAATTTATTTCGAACCGTCGTTTCGTTGTGACATTTGCTCACATCGTCCCCGGGTAAGCATGAAGCAGGAGCATGAATCCCCCGTCAGAGCTCGGAAAGGTCAAGTCATATTGATTTTACTATGCAAACGCGCTTCCATATTGTCAGACCAATTGTCTGATCAAACCTCCAAAGTTGGAATCAGGTCGAACGTGACGGGTCACTTCAGGACTCATTATGGTGCCTTTTACAAACTGAAATCGTGGAAATGACCGCTGGAAGTGTCACATTTGGCGAGAGAGGCTTCGCTTATGCTGCTGAGTGGTCAGAAGGTGGAAGTTCAACCGCGTATACGCGGTCAGTCTATGGTGCGTAAAACGCGCGCTCCGGGGTGGAGACTTCTTGGAGAGGAAGCACTTTAGAGCACAGCAGCACGACTCCCTACATCCACAGGTTGCCTCGCATATCTCTCCTCCTCTCTGAGCATCTTGGCAACCCAGACCAGCGCAGAGTGCAGCCAGTGGACATGAACAGAGAAGTCGTGAGATAACGCGCATGGCTGAACCGTTAGGACGCAGAAGCTCAGGAGCGAAATGCCAAATCCATGGCGCTGGATCACTTGATTTTAACCTGCCTTGACAGGAATTTGACGACTTTTTCGGTCATAAACTATCATGTAAGCGCTTCTTCAGAGGACTGTGCGTTTTCTTCGACACAACCATGCCCCAGGCTCCTCGCTGCAGCTGCACGCCGGTGACAACAGCAACATAATGGCATGTAGGAGCGGCTGCTGCTGCGGCTTCGGTCCGATAAACGAGGATAACGCGCGGTTCCTGCTGCTGGCTTTGTTCATCATCATCTATCTCCTGTGCGGGGCCGCCGTCTTCTCGGCGCTGGAGCAGCCGAAGGAGCGAGAGGCGAAGGAGCGCTGGGCGCAGAGGTTCGAGCATTTCAGCCAGAAGTACAACCTGAGTAAGAAAGACCTGAACAACTTCCTGAGGAACTACGAGGAGGCGAACGTGGCGGGGATCCGTGTGGACACAATCAGACCTCGATGGGACTTCACCGGCGCTTTTTACTTCGTGGGAACTGTGGTGTCCACCATTGGTGAGATGGAGAAACGCGCGTTTAGAAGCTGCGTAAAAATACAATTTCTCTCTTAAATCTATTAATTCTATCTGAAAACATAAAATACGAGACGAAATCCCACTTCTGTGACCATATCAGATATCTTACTTGTTTTATTGTTGGTGTTTAATACTTTTCCTTCTTTTGTACATTACTGTAACAAACTCTCCCACATCAAGGCCACTTGTTACTCACTGCTCATGAGCCAGAATGACAAAATTCCTTTTGCCCTTTAACTGAATTTTATCTAGAAAGCAGCCAGGTTTGGTTTAATCTCACTTCAATACAATGCAAATACAAATGAAACCTTCCAGTTTGTACAATACACAGCATACACAATGGGCTTATCTCCACCTATAATAGCAGGAAAACTCTGGATGCAGCTATGAACTGATCATTCTTACGCTGCCTTTTGTTACAGTAAGCACGCAGACCTCTTTTTCTTTCTGTTAATGTATGTTTTTGCTGCTGAGAAGTGGCAAGATCCACTTCAATATCAGCTTTGTGGGTTCATTTAGTGCTTGGAGTGTGAACTAGGTGGTTTAACGGAACTACGCCGAGCCAAAACAGCATTTTGATTCCCGCTTCAGTGCCCTCTGTTTCATAACCGGCTGTGTCAGGACTGTCATCGGTGTCAGTATGTCAGACGGAGACACAGCCGGCGGCACTGTTATGCTCAGCGAAGGAGCCGCTGATCTTTTGTTGTGGAAACCTCTCCTCTGATTTGCAGGCTCTTTCCGTTCCTTCTCTTCTGCACCTGCTTGTTGATGCCATTTCAGGTGTCTTGACTGGAGCGAGTTGATCTCCAGTGATTGACAGTTTGACAGGGCTTTTGAATGTGAGGGATAGAGATGGAGGAACAGCTGATCCTGTTTTATCCAGAGGTGCTGGGAATCAAATGGAAAGATAGGTGTTCGCAAGATTGACACCATAATTCCTGGAGCCAGTCTCTTCTGAACCGGCAGTGTGCACTTTCCCTTGAGACCTTTGACAGTGCAGTGAGCATCCTTATTTTTAGAGCTCCCCTCTGGTGGAAATCTAGGGTTTTTCATGTACATGTTGTGTTTTTTTTTATATTCTAGAAGACAAATCAGGGGCAAAGTAAGCAGTCGATGCAATGCCGAAGCGTTGCTACCTTGAAACTGCAGCGTACCGATTCTCATACGCAGGGATTGCCATAGTGAATAGTTTAAGCAGACTCCTACGTGAGCTGGTGTGCTCAAGCTGCAGTATTTAACTGAGGGTAGTTGTGCATATTCTAGAGGAGGCATCAGCTAAGGTAAGAAGTGAGTATATCCATGGACAATATTTTCCAAATATGCAACTTTAATACACTGAGATGAGCCTTTAGGGAATAAATCCGCAACTGAATAGGGACTTCAAACACTAACTTTATCATCGAAGTAGCCTCCCAAGACAAGAAACATCCCTGTTCTGTACGGGGGACACAAAAAAAAGCTTCGACACATCACTTCACAAAGATTGAGCTACAGCTACAAGGTGCAGTTGGAGGCTCTGATGGTATAACGCACCAGCTGATATCTCGCTGTAGAAAGATGGCACCATTATCTCTGATGTGGCAGATGACAGATGAATCATCGTAAAATCATCTGATGTTGTTTTGATCGCTGTGTCTGACGGCTGAATCCAGCTGTCTCAAGTTAAATATCAGACAGATTTTTTTATTATATTTGTGTCAAGTCTCATCACTTTGAGCAGTCTCTCTTCTTAGTTTTTGCACTTTGTATGTGGCCTCAGGGAAAGCCCATTACGTGGTCATTTTGCATCATGTATGAGAACATTGTGTGCGTCAGAGCTCGGAGCATCAGAGAGTGTATGCTTAGTCAGAACACAGGCACAAACAGGTTTTAAAGGTATGTTTTGCTCAAAATATACAAGCAAATATCCCCCCCAAAAAATTAAATTCTGATTTTTAAATGGACGAAAGAGTCTGTAAACTGCATGACGTTGTCCACTGACTGCTTCGATCTCAAGTTTAAAGAATTTATTTGACATTTTCCTAGAGCGCACGTATTTGCTTTGTGGTACTGCGAGATCGATACCACTTTCATATTTTTTTTGTATTAGCCTTTAGAGTTGCTCTGCAGTATCTAGTTGAGAAGCAAAGCCAATTAATTTGTCTCATAAACATGCATGACTCACAGTTGGAGCACTTCTGCCACTTGGATCGACATGAAACTCATCAGCACAACAAATGAACAACGGCATCGAAAGTAAACGCTGCTTTGATTTCAAAAAAAAAAAAAAAAGAAAAGCTAACAGTCAAGGCTCTAGAGTTAAGTACAACTCTCGAGTTTAATTTGGCTACAAACATGCAATCACTGGGTTTCAGATTGTGTTGTTGTGTTGCTCATCTTTAACACTGACGGTAAGGAGTTTTGTTTTTGTTATGGATGAATTTTGCAACTTTAGAAATGATATTCATCCACAGTTTCACAACACGCAAATTTCTGCATTGAAATATATTTCTTTGAAGCTTGTTGTAGTATTTCTACACATCAAGCATACCAGATTGATGCACAAAACACAATTTCTCAGAAACACGCTGACACAATTAAAACTTGTGGCGGCTCTTCTGTTTGTTTTGTTATCTGGGAAAGTCTTGCATTTGTAAGAAACTCTGAAGACATTGTTTCCGCCCTGCAGGTCTCTCTACCTGCACCAGGCTGTATATGTTATTACAATACAACCCACTGCCATTTCTGGGTTAATCGCTGCTACTGCTGTGCCGCTTCATTGTTGTACATCTATTTTGGCAGAGTTACAGCTGAGTTTTTCAGAGCAGGTTCAAAAACATCACCTCACTGATTCATTGTTACACGGCTATGATTGGGTTTTTAATTAGCAGTTTTGATCAGACAGAAGCAAAAACTTAATTTTTTTGCTGGAGTTTTTTTAAATCTTGTGCCGACCTGGTGATGAGGACAATGAGACCACTTGTACCTCAAAATGTTCCGAAGTGTGTCTGATCCATAGAGCCCCAGGTTGTTTAGTTTAGCCTTGTAGCTGAATTTAGGGTGGTGTTTTCAAAAAATAAAGAGGTTCAAGAAAATACTCAAACTGGAAGACAGAAAGCAGATTAAAAGCCTACTAAATGAGTAACTTCCTTAACTTAAAGTCTCTCTCTGGGCATTGATTTAATCCCTAAAAACTCAGCTCTGTGCATCAAATATACATATTTTGGATTCTTTATTTTTTTCTTTTTTTGATAAAAACATTTCTTGCCTGGCTTAAAAGGGCTTAGATGTAACTCTACATCGTCTCCTTAAGAACGTTTGCTGCCTTCTACGCTCTCATTGCACTCGAGCACACCAGCTCACATGACTTCGCTCAAACACTGTGCAACCACTCCTCTACGCTACACAATAACAAGTTGTAATGCCGGAGTAGTTCAGCCATATATGTTCGAAGCTGAAACTAATCCTGAAGAAGAAGAAGGATATGGAAGTATTGTCACTCTGCAAGTTGACAGGATTTCTTTAGGTTTGCTCTGCATGAAACTCAGTCTGAATTTGTGTTTTTTAGACTGTAATCAGTTCTCAGCTGAGCATTTTCTCTTTGAGTCTACAGAGGTTGACTGGTTTTTTCATTCCTAATATTTCTTCTAGCATATGAAAAAAGCACCATATAGACGTATTAACAAGGTGAAACTCGTGGTTTTTCACTGGAAGACGTCTTTAACAACTCCTTTAGACGAGCATCTAATTTCCACATACAGTGCCTCCGTATACCTGTACCAGACCTAACCTGATTAAACAGATCTAACAACATAAACATGATCTGGAAAAGGTTTCTGGTCAGAATATGCTTGTACAATATGGAATGTACAATAACTGCTTCTTTCAACAGCAACTCGTGACACTCAGACTGATTCACAGTGAAGACTCATGTTAGCAACAGCCTGATGGCTCAGGGTAGATTACAATGATACATACATGTAAATACACACAGAAACACAATGCTCTCCTCTTTTATATTAACAATGTTGTCTCTGAGGAATGTCTGTCTGTCCTGCTCTGGTGCTGATGATGGGCTACAGCTGCTGGACTGGTCCTGCTTTGGATGCCTGTCCTCAGAACTGTCCCCCTGAACCTGTCTAGGTTCACTGGTCTGACCCTCACTTGGCCTCTTCTTAACTCTATTCGGGACTTTTGGGCTCTTTTAGACCCCGGGCCATTTGGTTTAGGTGACAGGTATTGTTTTTTGATTTTTAAAGATTTGATTTTTAAATATAAAAAGAGTGTCCTGCATTTGGAGCCAAAAATATGTCAACTTATCAGAAAATTTCTTCAACATCGTATAAAAGTCTATAATGAATACCAACAATTATTTTGCACATATTATTTCTTGGGGTCCAATGGATCCCCAGAGACCTACGTATGGCAACATGAAAGTCCTGAATAGGGTTCAGATAACTAACCAAGCTGGCTGCTCCTCTTTCTGACATCTCTGAGCCTTGCTGCTGCTGCTGGAACAGAGACTAAATGACACCATTCAGTTGGAATTCAAACTTGTGACGGGGAATGCCCTGGCTGCTCCCAAAACATCTCTGTGTAAAGTGTCTCCATTTAACATTGTCCTTGTTTCAAAAAAAAAAAAAAAGAAAAAGAAAAAAAAACACACCATAGCAAGATCTCGTGTCACATAATCATTAATGCAGAAACCCCTTGATGGTTCTTTACCATCTAGATGGCCCGTTTCATCAGCTTCTCTACCGAATAACATCAACTTTTGTTATCAAAATGTTAAATGATGAACTAAAGATAATGGCTAAATCTACGAGTTAAGATAAAACATATCAGTAACTTGATTGTGTTCAATTTACCGCACGTTTGAATTTGACCCTCAGAGTGTCCGTCAGTGCAGAGTGGAAGTGAGAGAAGAGGTGTGCTTGTTTTATGTTCCAGCCACTCCCGTCACAAACACTACCACAGTACTCTGTTCACCCCGCCCCCATAAAGCTGCGCTGTAAAAACCAGCTAGCGCTCCTCAAAGAAACTACCCAATGACAAGACAGTATTTCACCAGACGGGGCCGAGAGGGGGCCAATCATGGGGCCGTGGCCCCTGTGGCCCCTGCCCTCCCTTCGCCTATGATTAGCAGTGGACACCATGGCTGAGAATTTCCTTGAAGCTGCAGTGTACTGATGACAGACTCAAAAATCTGAGGTTTCGCACGTCAAAAACTAAAATAACTATTCATGTTATCTTGCAGGGAGGGCTTTTTGTTTTTCATATTATTAGTCTTCTTTAGAATCTATTTCTGGTTCAATCATGAATTGCATCTGGCCATTGTGTAGCATAAAGTGTTCTTTATATCATAGGTGAGCTGGTGTGCTTGACCTTTTGCAAGTGGGAGGAAGTGCATGAAAATAGAGGCAAGGACTTCATAGAGCTGCAAACACGGGAAGGAACGGTATACAATTATGACTAAGTCAAGAAGGGATTGTCTTCATGGAAAGAAAAATTTATCTACAGAGTTTTCAGGAGTGCAATTAATGACCGGAGAGGGGCATTAAATGTTTTGTGTGTGTGTGTGTGTGTGTGTGTGTGTGTGTGCAAGGTTGCATTTAGCAGGAAAATCAGCACCTTGTAGCAAATCCCAACAACCCCGTTAATACCAAGTACGTTCATGAGCTTTTGTTCCCTGACACAGGTCGTAATGACACGGCAGCACACCATTTTCTCCCTTTTCTTTCAGGTACTGTTTATTAAATGACTCATCAACATCACATTTAACTAGGCTTACGAAATAAGGAGAAAAACACATCTATAAAATCCAGCCCATTCGGCTTTATTGTCGCGTTTGGAAGGAAAATTCTGGTTCAATTAGCACCTTGAGAAGCTGTCTGGATGTGGAGGCAATCAAATCCTCCCCAAGAAGCCTGCCTCTGGCACGGTGGCAATTAGTCATGCTGCACAGTGTGTTTTTCCTGACAAAAGATACAGTAAAATTGTACTTTTTCTCGTCACGTTGCACCGTTTACAGCTGCTTTATCTGGTAACAATTGTTGTATATAACTATGAAGCTAAAATTTGAAACTACACCTTAAATTTTCAACAAAGTTATAGATGTAGTAAAGGTAAAAAGGAGAGCGGACGGACTGACTTAATGAGTTTTTTTTATGTTTAATGTAAGATGAAAAGGATACTTGTGCAGTTGAATGCAGCACATTTTGTTAATCTGCAAGTTCACAAGGGACAAAGTAGAAAGTCACACTCAGAAACAGGATCTTCGTCACCGACGAAATTAAACCGGTCAAATGGGTTCGAGCTTTAAAAATCAAGCAAAACGATAAAATTGAGATGTGATGTGGCACCAGCGGGTCTCTCAGTTGCCAAACAAGTGCGGAAAACACTGTGAAATGTTTGGCAAACTGGCACTTTGAAAATGATTGCAGTGATGCGCTTGTGCTGAAACACCTCAGCTCTAAAAATGAATGTTAGCGACAGACAGGAACAACAGGAAAGAGAGAGAAGAGAGAAGTACGCGTCACCAATGGCAACCCAGTGGAGGGAAGCGGTTGCCTGACTACAACTTTCACTTAGAAGAATAATACATTGGTGATTGACCGTCTTTGTTGGTGACAGATAATACGTGAGTTTGAGTTAAAAGATGAAGCAACTGCGGGCGATGACCACTCTCATCTCCTCTACAAATAATCCATTCATTTCCTTAGAGCACTGCCATATTAATGGGAGCATGCGTGTGAAAGAAAATGCAGGCATTGAGTAAGGGTAGTACTTTTCAAGTGAAGGTAATGCTTTTATGTAAAAAAAAAATCATTTCATTCTGGCCTTTCATTCATAGCCAGAAAAGAAACTGAGGAATTGAAGTTAAGCTTCTCCTCCCAGTGTTCACCTCATTCAACCTTGCTATAAGAAGCGTGTCGATTTCTACTCACTGCATTGTGTTTTTCTAGGGTTTGGGATGACCACTCCGGCCACCATCGGAGGAAAAGTCTTCCTCATGTTTTACGGCCTGCTCGGCTGCGCAGCCACCATCCTCTTCTTCAACCTCTTTCTGGAGCGAGTCATCACCGTCATCGCCTTCGTCCTCAAGTCCTGTCACGAACGACGCCGCAACAAGGTCGTGCTCCCGCAAAATGGACGTCGGGTCTCTGAGGGAAACAGGGCGGGTGGACCTGGGGGAGCTGGAGGAGGAAAAGGGGAGGATCTTGCCGGCTGGAAACCCTCCGTCTACTGCGTCATGCTCATTCTGGGAGCGGCGGCCATCTTGGTGTCCTGCTGCGCCTCGTTGATGTACTCGGCGGCCGAGGGTTGGGGCTACCTGGACTCGCTCTACTTCTGCTTTGTGGCCTTCAGCACCATTGGATTTGGAGATATGGTGAGCAGCCAGCGAGTTGTCTACGAGGGCCACGCCACAGTTGCGTACCGGCTGGGCAACTTCTTCTTCATCCTGACCGGCGTCTGCTGCATCTATTCGCTCTTCAACGTTATCTCCATCGTCATCAAGCAGGTACTCAACTGGCTGCTGAGGAGGCTGGAGGCCCCCTGCCGCTGCTGCTTCCCCAGGAGGGGTCACCACCCGCACAGGCATCCAAGACGGAATGTGGTCGCCCCGGGTCACCTCCGGGCACGCAGGGATCCGTCCATCGAGACGGACGCCATCAACGAAAGCGAGACCGACACTGGGCGCCGGATGTCCGGGGAGATGATCTCTATGAGGGACTTCTTAGCAGCCAACAAGGTGAGAGCTTCAGGGCTCGAGCAGATTGTGTGACACTCCACCTAATTTAATCACATGTTCTTACATGCAAGATATGCGGCTGTTTCCAAGAGTAATTCGATTTAACTGTGCTCGCGTAGCAGAAAGAACACTTAGTCAATAATCTCGGGTCCCTATAGTCACGCTTATTGCAGTTAATAACCGTCTCCTTCGCCTCGCTCTCAGCTATCGCCATCATTTTTACCACTTCATTCTTCATGCAAATATTCTTTGGAAGCCATAACCTACATGTGACACATCAAATCACTACATGTCCATACATGTTATTACGAAAACCTAAAGTGTTCGAAGTCAGTGTTTAATGTGTGAGAAAAAAAAAAGGTCACCTCCTCAGTGTCATAAAATAGATTCACATTTGGATATGAGCCTCCTGTCTACAAAAGGAGCAGTTTATTTATTTCCTGCCGTTCCCAAGGATACATACAAATTATGGGTAAAATTTTCCTGGGTATCCGTGACCTTATTCCATTGCCATGAACCATTCAGCAGCTCTTGTGGTTTGCTCAGGAGAGCCAGCTGTCCATACATTTACATATCTACGACTCCGTGGTTCATGTGAGATGAATGAGCAGCGTGAGCTGCAGCTGAACCAAGCGGCATCACTCAAGGATTATTCTAAACAGGATCAAAATCTGATGGTCATTCTGATTAAAGAGCCTGAACGTTTTAACTGACAGTGTCAATGACCAGTCTAAATCGTGAATTCTAGTTTATTTTAACATTTAATATTTCCCATCATATTCGCTATTGTGTCTTTAAGTGTGTTTCAAACTGCATTCTTCATCATTGTTGTAGAGATTCAGAGATTGCGTACCGGGGGGAAATTAGGATGAGTTCCCTTCAGATTTAGAAAGAAAGCTGATTATTGTTATCGGACTGAAAGTAAATGAAGAATTAACTGCCTTGGATTGGCATGCTGTTCCAACTGTATTGGACAACTGAGCATTCAGTCTGGCTGGCATTGATCTTTTCCTCCAGTTATGTTAACTCCAGGATGTTAATCAAAGCTGCAGAGTCATTAGTTTTAGTTCAGCTGGGATTGCTCCCATCCATGGAGACATGGAGATTTTCTAAGTCTGGCACTAACAAGTCTGACTCTTTGCAGCACCAGTTTTCCTCTTCAGTCAGCAGCAGAGCAATGAGTGGAGAAACACCACCAGTTTCCTAGACGTATGCTGTCTTTTAGGACGTCCTGTTTTCTTTCCGCCTCCATCTCTATAGTTAAAGTCAGTCTAACACAAGCCGGCAAGGATCCCTTGATCAAGACCTCCAGTACTGGGGTGCCGCTATAGCTCATGGCTGGTTGAGCTGGCGTCCCATGTACGGGGGCTATAGTCCCCGACGCGGAGGTCATGAGTTCAAGTCCTGCTCATGGCCCTATTCCACAGGTCCTTCCCCCATTCTTCTCCCCACTTTCCTGTCTCTCTCTCTCTCAGCTGCACTATCAAATAAAGGCCAAAAAAAAAAAAACATCTCCAGTGCTATTAGCAAAATGTCTTTAAAGACTTTAAGACTTTAAAAAAAGATTTATGCAAAAAAAACCCAACTTTCTTTGAAACGTTATAGGTAGCTCATGCTATCTACTCCACTAAACACATCCACAAGCTGCTGTGTTTCCCCAAATATTCCCAGAACAAATGTGAAGAGTGCAAACTTGAATCAACCATAGCCACATAAATGTGAAACAAACTGAAATTATTTTTTAAGATGTGAGGACGCCTTATTTTAGACTACTAATGCATACCTTTATTTTAAAACAGCAGCAAAATGTTACTGTTAGAAAATTAATTTGAGGCGATTAAATAACAAATTGACTTTCCCATCCTGTTCCTTTTACAACTTTTCATGTAGTGTCAATGTTTTAGTGAAATATCTACTTGACTTACTTACAAAACGAAAATTTAAAATCACATCAGTCAAGGTTTGCAGACGATGACCCTCGATGACTTTAATGATGGTCTAAGTTCTCCTCTACCACCACCTGCAGGATCACATTTGTATTTTTGGGTGAAACGTCTTGGAAGGTTTGCTAAAACCTGAAACATCGATGATATGCACCTTGTGGTGACACACCGAGCTAAGATAGTGAGCATGGAAAACATTAGCTGCTAAACTGTAGCATATTAGCTGTTAGGATTTTAGCTTAAAGTATTAGTAAATTAACTACATTTACATAAAAAAGTCAAATTCAACATTGATTAAAAAATAAAAAAATAAGTGGACTGAGTTCTTTCCATCGGAACAAACTACAAGGCGTTCTCTCCATGCAGGAATGGAACTATAGGAGGAAAAGGAAATTATCTGACAAACAGGAAGCAGTTGTGGCTGTGATTATTACCACGGAGGAAATGAACAGTTACCCCATGCTGGACTGGGATCTACCAGCAGAGGCGATTCTAAACTCGTCCTACCTCCGACAGAGAAATAAATCTAGCCTGAACCAGGCTTTAGTCTCGTTCTCTACAGCATTTATTGCTAATATTTCACATTTACTGCTCTCACAAAAAACTGCATGGTCGTCCTAGTTTGAAATAAAAAACAACTTTTCCAAAAGCTTGAATCAGCCTCAGAATTGGCAGATAACATTAGAGCTCTACACGGATGCCGTCTAGCAAGATGCCTGGAAGAGGACCTCGCGTTGATTGACAGCAAATCTGACTGAAAATCTTGGTGTTTCCCTGTCTGACTGTAGCTCAGTTCCTCACCTCTGAACTGCCACCTACACGTTTGTTCAGCTTTTTTATATAATGCATAATAATTTATGAGTGAAAGGAGGAAAACAAAATGTCAGTTTCTGTGTGAATGTCAGGCGAGTCTGTGCAGAAATTCACTCTGAAAAGGTAACTGAGAAACTGCTTTTGTACATGCCGTTCCTGCTCACAGAAGAATATAAGAGAGAGACGAGAGAAGGAGAAGTAAAAGGAGAGAGAAGTGGAGAATAGATATTTTCACAGATTTCTGCAACTTGAATGTCTCTGCTGCACTGGTGGCCTTACAGAAGAGCTGAACACTGATGAGCTGTAGGTGAATCCTGGGGTTACATGCAGATGAAATTTGCTTTTTCCTTCAGTTTGTACACCAATTTAACTCTTCAGTGCATGTTGGAGATTCTTTTTTAAGGACTATTCTGTATCCAGTTTAACTTTTCTCATCTCCAACTCAGGTGCAACTTGCAGCAACAACATAAAAAGATCACCTACTTTGGATTTCAAGGAATTCAATAACCTGTAAAATATTGATGATATGACATTTTAGGGTATCAACACTTTATATATGAAGCTTATTGTCTACGTCTAGGGGTGTGTGTGGAGTCTGCAGGGCTTTAAAGTTTGATTTAGATGTAATGGTGTAAAGTAACTAAGTAAATTTACTCAAGTACTGTACTGGAGTATGACTCTACGGCACGTGGACTTTACTTAAGTTACTGAATTTTATGCTGCTTTCTACTTCTGTCGACAATCTTACCATCACATTATATATGAGAGGAATACTGTACTTTTTACTCCACTACATATAATCTGAAAATTTAGTTACTGTACAGCAAAATAGGATTTTTGAAAACCATCAGGATCGAAAGAATGATATAAAGTGCAATGAATTTCTGTGCAGTAATTTAAGCCATCTAGCAGTGTAAGAAATCAAATTAAATTAGTTTTTTCTCACGCAAAAGCACAATATGTAATAAATTGAACACTGACAAAACCTATTTCTGTGTGTAATGAGTACTTTTACTCATGCAGTTTAGGTACATTCACTGACAATACTTTAACACTCTGATTTTTACTTTTACCGGAGTATTTTTAAATTATATTGTTGGTACTTTTCCTTGAGTAAATGTCAGAGTACTGAGTATCACCACTGGTTAAAGGTCTAATTTAGCATCTTAACCGTCTCAGTACATCGTGCCAACATATTGTAATTCACAAAGTACAGCTGAGGCCGAACAAAATATCATTAGCTGTAAATTAGCCGACGTTAAGTCATAAACCAAAGTACAGGACAAATTTACATTTTGATGTGATGGTGCCTCCAGATGAAATATCAGGGGGCTCAGCAGAGTTATTAAAATTCATCCCCGAGCAGAATAGGAAGGTCTGCGATAAATTTCATGCAATATTTGACAAGACATCCCACTAAGAAATAAAAATGTAAATGTCAGGTGTCTGCCGAAGTCAGTCGACTTCACCCTGTGGGGGCCGAGGATGTTTGTGCAACATTTTCGTGGAGTCATGCTGACAGTATGGCTAAAAATTACAAAAACGGCTCCATCCATCCATTAGCTGCACCGCCGTTATCCTGCAGAGGGTCGCGGAGGGCTGGAACAGCTAAGAGGCAGGGTACAGCCTGGATGCTTTGCCACTCCATCACGGGGCAAAGAGACAGACAACCGTGCAAGCTCACATTTTACACCTACAGCCTGTTTTAGAATCACAAATGATTCAAACATTCATGTCTGTGGACTGTGGGAGGAAGCCAGAGCAGCTGGAGAATCACCTCCATCTCATTAAAGTTAATACTGACTCATGTCAAACAGCTTCCACGTCAGTTGTGGACATTTTCAACACCTTCCTTTGTTGAGTGAAAAATAAAAAGGCAAGGTTGAGGTGCAGGAGAATAAAATCTGTTTTCTTTTTCCAGTCACACTTGTTCAGTGTTTGTCACCTTTGTTTGCTTTAATTGACGCACCGGAGGAGAGGAAGAACGCCATCTGGTAGCTTTATTTCACACCTGTAAGATCAGACGCGCCTGCTGCCAACGCATTGTATTAAACCGTACATAACACAGGCGGCAGATATTTCCTCATGCGCTGATTTCTTTATCTCTTCATGTAGGTGAACTTGGCCATTATGCAGAAGCAGCTGTCGGAGATGGCCATCGGGCACCCGCGCCAGTCCGGCTCCAGTTCGCGTCAGAACGGCTTCTCAGGAGGGGTGGGCGCCCTCGGCATCATGAATAACCGACTGGCAGAGACTAGCGTGGACAGATAGGGGCGGCTGTGGGAAGCTTTTTTTTTTTTTTTGCCGGATACAAAAGGCGCAGGAGGGTGGTAGGAACGGACTGAGACCGGAGGACTGAAAGGAAGATTTGGTGTACCAGAACGAAGGCTGACCCCCAGCAGCTAGAAATGAAACCATGGCAGCCCACTTTCCTGTCAAGAACATGACCGTATGAATGATGCATGATAGTTTACTGGAGTCTCACATCTGGACCACACTGCTGGAATGTTCTCCCGTGAGGAATCCAGTTTCCATGGTGATAAAAAAAAAAAAAAAAGCCTGCCTCCAGCCCCTTTGTATCGAAGCCTGATGATACACTTCTACATGCTACTTCACAGCAAAACCGCAACTTCAGCTCATCTGCAGTACTTTACAATACTCACTATGACTCTACGCAACTCTGTCTGTCACTGTAAAGGGTATTAATGAGAGAAAAAAAAAAATAGCTTTAATAAAGTGGTTGTTTCTTGGACTTGGGAGTCGTGTTTGAGTTTGGACGTCGTAAGGTGGTAGTTTTACCATCAGTCTAGCAATGTAACTCGTATTCACAGCCCTATTCAACCGTCTTTGTCATTCATTACCACGACAAAGAAAAGACAACACCCTCCGAAAAGAACCTCATTACAAACCAAACAGACCCAGAATGGGGAGTCTGTGATGAAGCCTATTATGTGAGGCTTTGGGCTTGCGGCACATTATCTAAGCACAAAGGCAGACATGAGGACATTTTGAGATTTGTTGCTGGGCAGGCCTGCAGGTGGACGCTGCAGATATAAATCCAGTGAAAGATTTAGCTTCTTCATTGGATTCTGGCTCAGCAGTGTTAGGTTTCTGTTTTCAGAACAACAGGATTGGTAATAACAGGCCAGTAGAGCTATTGACTTACATCCTACATGAGGAAGACTTGTTTGCAATACATTATGACCCAAGGGCCTTCACATTACAGGTATCTTCATTCTCTTTCTACATGCATTTGAGAGGACACAGACATTACAGTTTAAGAATCCTCCAGGCGCCATCAGCTGAGCTGTTTCTATATGCGACTTAAGTGTGTCTCATATGCAGAGAGACACAAGAGCAGAGAGACAATCTTCTTTTAGTGTCGTCTTGATAAAATTACAACATCGCAAACCCGCCAAGGCAGAATATGCTGTCATATTTTTTGTACGGGGGTCATCAAGCTGATTTCCAACGGTTGTGAGAGATTTATACCTGTGAGTCATCCGAATGTTACAAAATCCTTGCCGATTCAGAACATAAACTGAGAAGACGGAGGCGAGATCCAGATGGCATGCAGCATTAATGAAGCACAATGAAAAGCAATAAAACACAACTTCATTTCGTCTTGTGAATTGAAAAGAGATCAAACAAGAAGGAATTTCTAGCGGTGAATCTGACATTGCAAAGTAAGAACAGAGGTTAGACTGGTTGGGCATCACTGGCTACTTTAAAGAAAGGCATTTCTCATAATTCCACATCAGCTGTTCATTATTTGCCCCCTATAGCAAGTCCAGGATACCACCATAGTCGACTGCTATATTAGCAGCTATACCCTGCTTATTGATTGTTTTAATCATAGACGATATCAAAGATAGACAAAGTCTCCAGAGCTGCAAAACGAAGCCACTTAATAAGTGCCTTAAACATGCATTCTTTTTGATGGCCAGCAGGTGGCGACTCCTCCAGAAAGTCTGATTGTATAGAAACCTACGCGAAAATGACCCTACTTCTCACTCGATCTGTTACATCAGTAAACATTTTACTCACGAGTCTGTGGTCTCAATTGCTAACTTCAAGACCTTTAATTAACAGCATGATATTAACTGAGTAAATTATGATCCCATTTACAGGAAAACACACAATAAAACAAGGTATGCTTTAAGACAGAGCTGCTTGAGCTCTCAGTCAGATCATATACTCACTTTTACTCTAACATACAGCATCAAATTCCAAACTCAACACTTCAAAACAGTAGTACACACCCCAGTGGAGGATATCACAATCCACAATCCATCTTTTATATACAGTCTATGGTTTATGGTCAAGCAACTGCATGCAGCAGTGTCAGCCTCATGGCAAAATTTCACTGAAAGCACAAACAAGGGCAGTCACAGCATTTCACTACACAATTATCATGACCAAAAGAAATCACAAAATAATCAAAATATCTATAGAAGAATTGAACAAAATTATAAAAATGCTCTTTTCAGGTGTGGGTACAGTGTCTCCTGTCATCTCTCATGATACAATTTTGCCTGGCAGTAGTAGTCACACACTTTGGTAGTAGCTAGCTTCTTCTTGTTTTCCATTATAGCAGGTGTCAACCAGCATGAAGGTGCAACACCGCCACCTACTGTGTTGGAGTGTCAGCAGGATAGTTGGATTATTTCTGATCAAATCCTCTGCACATTATTAACATGTGCATATCTCCTAATTTAGTTAAAATCCATGCAAAGGAGTTAAGGCGCTTGAACAGGGAGGTCTGCTCTGTTGTATCTGGATCTTGAGTACTGAGTTGTGTAGCGATATTGGCGCAGTGGCCAAACTGTGTTCCTACAACTTCTACAATTCATCAAGCCTTTTTTTTCACCACACAAATAAAAGGAGCTGCTGTAAAACTGAATGCATGTTCTGAGCACTACACATATCTTTATGTTATCATTTAATCCATTCATTCCAATCACATTTTAAAGTCTAGAAGATGTATAATTATTGTATTTTATCCCATCAGTATGTGTTGGGAGTTAAAGTAAGCTGGCTCAGCGAAAAGGAGGCCGGTGTGCATGCATTATGGGTGGAAAAACTGCATAAACATGTCCAATATCTGGGTGCATCGTGGAGGGAGCTTGGAAGACTTGGGCCATTGCAACCACTGTGAATTGTATTTCTGCCTCGTGAGAACAACACAAATAACAGAAAAAGCAACAGTAATTATAGGGGGCAAGAATTACTGAATTGCACCGACTTTATTGCAAAGTGTATTTAAGTGTTCTGTTGTTTCAAGTACAAGATGCTGTACAGCAAAAAAAGGACATGGATGTGAGTCTGTACGCATTTAAAAACAACATTTGTCTCTTATCAGTACGAACACGGACGCAGCTACATTTTCAGCGAGTCGGTTAACAGCAAAGACAGTGAAGATAGCACAGGCATAATGAAATCCCTAAGTACTGGAATCATCCTCAGAATATGAACCGATAAAAATACCTTGAAGTGTCCATTCTTTGCCATGGAGACGATCTCACACACACACACACACACACACACACAGTCACACGCTACCAAAAACGCACACAAAATCGTCTAATAGACATTTATGTCAGAAAAGCTCTGCCTACACAGTTAATAATAGCGTTGAACAAATGCCTGTGTGGTCCTGTTTGTTTGTGCGAGAGACTTGGACAGATGCAGACACACAAAGACTCTTTGTTGAAGCTCTTTTCTGAGTCACGACAACTCCCAGAGAGTTACTGATACTGCTGTCACATCTACTGTGCTGGAGCCAATTTGAAACACACTCTAATGGAAAAGCCATGTGGGATTTGACAATATGGTTAATTCTGCCCTGCTGGAGAGGCACCGCGGTGTTACACCACCATTCAAGGTTCAGTGGGAATGAACTTAATAGGTGGGTATTTTATTATGTCCGCAAAAGGTGTGAAAACTCTGTAGTGTACAGACGTGATGCAAGCATGAATCCATTTGACATTTTGATAATAAACGGCTGAAAGTGGTTGTATTCATTCGATTGTGTCAAACACGTTACATAAGGTGTCATAGATGCATAAGAGCTATCATTAGAAGGTGTCTGTTCAGTTCAGTGGGTGTCGAGCAACGATGTATACAATCATGTCTGACCAAAGAGATTAGCAACACAAACACTGGCAGCACCACAAAATGAGCTAATTGCCTTAATAATTTAATTAGGATGGGCGTAATGCATTGTCACTGCGCAAGTAATTATTGATCTATCATGTGCACGAGTGTGACAGGGGAGGGTAAACAGCAAGGAAACCAATTAAACGGTGTCTGTGAAGACCGAGGCTGCGAGATCCAGGTGGCACGAAAAACTATGCCGAGCACAGACTGCATTTGTTCGGAGGCAAAATTAACGAGTGACAGGATTATTTCGGCAGCGTGTTACGGCTGAGCACCCAGACGTTGTGCAGCACTGAGACTGCTGTCCTCGTTTTACCGAGTTTGTGCCTTTCATGTAAATGCTAACATGTTCCGACTGTATTATTCACTTCTTGATATTTTGCACCTGCTCCAATGATGGCTCACGTGATTATTAATCAGCCACTGTGTGTAGCAGTGTGCAGTTAACCATGACAACTAAGTTATGTTCATTCAAATGAGTTCAACAAAGTAAGCCTTCATTAAAACAGTTCACAATGGGAGATTGTAGTTAGTTTACACAGTGAAGTCTGTATGAATGCAGATTAAAGTCCAACTGGAAATTAAAGGTTTAAATGTCATCAAATTAAAAATTTTCAAAGCTATTGCACAATCATACAGTTAGGTGGAGCTATAGTGACTTGTTTGAAATATGCCTGTCATCCATCCATCATTTATGAGCTGCTTCATACAGACAATTTAAAATCACTGATTAACCTCAGCATGTGTTTGGACTGTGAGAGGAAGCTGGAGAACCCGGAGAGAACCCACGCAGGCACAGGGAGAACATGCAAACTCCACACAGAAAGAACTCAAGACCTTCTAGCTGTGAGGCGACAGTGACAACCACCACATCACCATGCCGCCCATATTCTGGTAACGTTTTATTTTAAGGTATAGGCAATGTTCTAGTGAAATCCCCACTGCTTCGAGGCGTTGTTAGGATTTAAACACATTTAAGGTTCAGCCCAGCCCGGCAGTCGGCAGATTTTAACCTGAAAATTGCCCCATTTTCAGGTTATCTTGGAGTAAAATGGATAGAAAAGGCGAGACACTGCGCTCTAGGCACAGTCAGGTCATTCCACTTTCTTTCT